TGGGAAAAATATATAAATATGGGAAAAATATATAAATATGGGAAAAAATATATAAATATGGGAAAAAATATAAATATGGGAAAAATATATAAATATGAGAAAAAATATAAATATGGGAAAAATATATAAATATGGGAAAAAATATAAATATGGGAAAAATATATAAATATGGGAAAAAATATAAATATGGGAAAAATATATAAATATGGGGAAAAATATAAATATGGGAAAAATATGAATATGGGAAAAATATGAATATGGGAAAAATATATAAATATGAGAAAAAATATAAATATGGGAAAAATATATAAATATGGGAAAAAATATAAATATGGGAAAAATATATAAATATGGGGAAAAATATAAATATGGGAAAAATATGAATATGGGAAAAATATGAATATGGGAAAAATATATAAATATGGGAAAAATATATAAATATGGGAAAAATATATAAATATGGGAAAAATATATATAAATATGGGAAAAATATATAAATATGGGAAAAAATATATAAATATGGGAAAAAATATATAAATGTGGGAAAAAAATATAAATATGGGAAAAAAATTATAAATATGGGAAAAAATACAAATATGGGAAAAAAAATTATAAATATGGGAAAAATATAAATATAGGAAAAAAAATTATAAATATGGGAAAAATATATAAATATGGGAAAAAATATAAATATGGGAAAAATATAAATATGAAAAAAAAAACCATAAATAAGTAGCTTCAATGTATAAGTCGCAGGACGTGCAAATTATGACAAAAGGTGCGAGTTATACAGTGAAAAGTCCGGTAGTTTCTCTTTGCCAGCATTGAAAAAATGTATTCTGACAGCACTTACTGGACTGACTGGTACTTGTCTGTTAACATCAACAAATACCATTTTATTTGACACGCATCATTTATAATACAGCTAATAAACAATGTCCAAAAGTAAGAGACAAAAAGAATAGCTCAAACTGCCTGCGATTTCAAATTTCTGTAATAAATATGAATTTTTTTGGAAAGATAATGTCTTGCCAAAAAAAAAAAAAAAAAGTCAGGCCAGAGATGAAAGGTTGTTGGATATTCACATGCAAAGTGATGTCAAAGGGTGAACAGAGCACTGCCCCAACACAGGCTGTGGAGGAGTCTCATGTGTTTTACATTATTCTGAGTCAGTGTCTGAGAGAAAGCAAGAGCTCAAGTAAGAGTGTCTGAATAACAAAGAGCAGGGAGCTCTCCTGTGATGTCACTTCCTGGTTCACTCTGCAACTAAAGACAGAAAAGACGCCAGTTATGTGACAAAATGGGTAAAATCATGTGTACAGGTCCTTCTCAAAAAATTATCATATTGTGATAAAGGTCATTATTTTCCATAATGTAATGATAAAAATGAAACTTTCATATATTTCACATTCATTGCACACCAACTGAAATATTTCAGGTCTTTAATTGTTTTAATACTGATGATTATGGCATACAGCTCATGAAAACCCAAAATGCCTGTCCCAAAAAATTAGCATATCATGAAGAGGTTCTCTAAACAAGCTATTAACCTAACCATCTGAATCAACGACGTAACTCTAAACACCTGCAAAAGATTCCTGAGGCTTTTAAAAACTCCCAGCCTTGTTCATTACTCAAAACCGCAATCATGGGTAAGACTGCCGACCTGACTGCTGTCCAGAAGGCCATCATTGACACCCTCAAGCAAGAGGGTAAGACACAGAAAGAAATTGCTGAACGAATAGGCTGTTCCCAGAGTGCTGTATCAAGGCACCTCAGTGGGAAGTCTGTGGGAAGGGAAAAGTGTGGCAGACAACGCTGCACAACGAGAAGAGGTGACCGGACCCTGAGGAGGATTGTGGAGAAGGGCCGATTCCAGACCTTGGGGGACCTGCGGAAGCAGTGGACTGAGTCTGGAGTAGAAACATCCAGAGCCACCGTGCACAGGCGTGTGCAGGAAATGGGCTACAGGTGCCACATTCCCCAGGTCAAGCCACTTTTGAACAAGAGACTGCGTCAGAAGCGCCTGACCTGGGACTGCTGCTGAGTGGTCCAAAGTTATGTTCTCTGATTACAGTACATTTTGCATTTCCTTTGGAAATCAAGGTCCCAGAGTCTGGAGGAAGAGAGAAGACACATAATTCACATTGCTTGAGGTCCAGTGTCAAGTTTCCACAGTCACTGGGGTGCCATGTCATCTGCTGGTGTTGGTCCACTGTGTTTTATCAAGGGCAGGGTCAATGCAGCAGCTATCAGGAGGTTTTGGAGCACTTCATGCTTCCATCTGCTGAAAAGCTTTATGGAGATGAAGATTTCATTTTTCAGCACGACCTGGCACCTGCTCACAGTGCCAAAACCACTGGTAAATGGTTTACTGACCATGGTATTACTGTGCTCAATTGGCCTGCCAACTCTCCTGACCTGAACCCCATAGAGAACCTGTGGGATATTGTGAAGAGAAAGTTGAGAGACGCAAGACCCAACACTCTGGATGAGCTTAAGGTCGCTATCGAAGCATCCTGGGCCTCCATAACACCTCAGCAGTGCCACAGGCTGATTGCCTCCATGCCACGCCGCATTGAAGCAGTCATTCATGCAAAAGGATTCCCGACCAAGTATTGAGTGCATAACTGAACATGATTATTTGAAGGTTGGTGTTTTTTGTATTAAAAACACTTGTCTTTCATTTCTGGGATGAAATATGCTAATTTTTTGAGACAGGCGTTTTGGGTTTTCATGAGCTGTATGCCACAATCATCAGTATTAAAACAATTAAAGACCTGAAATATTTCAGTTGGTGTGCAATGAATCTGAAATATATGAAAGTTTCATTTTTATCATTACATTATGGAAAATAATGACCTTTATCACAATATGCTAATTTTTTGAGAAGGACCTGTATTATGCCAAATTTCTTAAAGAAGAAGTTTTATTGCAGTTTTTGTATTTGTAGGATAAGCATGTCACAGGCACTTAAGGTAAAAGAACATTTGGTCAAAGCTTTGTTTAAATATTTGGTTCTGTCCTCTTCAGGAGGGAAACCATGAGACTGAGCTCCTGCAGGAGGAGGATTTATTACCAGCAGTTTCCTTAAAACCTGATGAATAGTTGACGCTTTTTATTCCTAAACATATAAATAGCCAGAGTTTCATTCAGTCATGCCGGCGCTGGTACTATAAACCTAAAATCTATTTTAATTTGCAAGGTTTTGTCTATATTTACACAGTAAATGCCAAAGTTTACTGTAAAAAAACACACAACTGAAATATTACAAAGCAGATAAAATTTTTGGAAGATGATGAGTCGTTTACCAGTCGATTATTCAAAAAATGATTTAGTAGAGTCAGTGAAATAAAAATAGTTGACCCTCCGAGTGTCTGTCCACAGTGAAGCCAGTTCTACACCATCATGACCATCATGACAGACATGGCGCCAGTCAAGAAAGAAGCTCCGCCTCCAAAAGCAACACTTTCAAGCTCGAGTCAAACTTGCAGCTGCTCACTTGAACGAGTCGAGACCTCCTAAAGAAAAGGTCAACAACGAATGACGCCACCTGTCAATCAACCCAGTAGGCTCGTCAGCAACTGACCAATCAGCAATCCCAGTTTGTCCCAAAGGTAAACGCCCCTTACCTGCAGGAGCTGCAGCCTCAACTTTGACCACATTGTCAGGGTTAGAGGATGGAAGTGGATTAAATAGCAGATTTATTGGTCCAGATTTCCTTAATGTTGGGAAATCGGCTGATCCTTACATGAGAAACAGATTTTACTGGTAGTTTTAACAACAGTTGTCTGAACCTCATTTATATTTCAGAGCTCCACCTCATGACCAGTTAAAACCAGTTTGTAATGTTTCTAGGATTGTTCAAGGGTCTGTTTTTCAGTCAAATCAGATGGAAGATTGAAGGTGCACTGTGACCTGATGACTCCTGACAGTGTTGGTTATAAAACTGAACCAGTATCAGCAGGTCCGGCTTGTTACAGATCTGTGATCAGCCACAAAACTACAGTCGGTGCACCCCTACTTTATTACATTTACAAAACATAAAAGGAGTCTGGAAAAATGTACAAGATGATCAAGCCCTGCAGCCGACATCATGATCAGCTGATTACCTCTTCTTCTTCTTTCAGGTTTGGTTTATTGTATTATATGCAAATCAACACAAGGTCAACAATGCAATGAAACGCTGAAGACAAGAAGAACCGTCTGGACTCACCGAAAAAACAAAACAGCAACAACAGACACGAAAGCAACAAAAATACAAAAACAAGGCGCCAAAACAGAAATAAATCTACAGCAGCATGGTCCAGTTAGCAGCTGTGAGGTTTCTCTGAACATGGTCCTGGATGGTCCTGTTGGTAT